TGTTAACTGGTTCATCAAGACTTACCTTTGTCAAGTTGGAGGTAGCCTTATTACAAGTAATCAATATTCAGTCTTGATTCTCATGTTAACTGGTTCATCAAGACATACTTACTTTCTTATACATTTAGAATTCCTAACAATGCTTTCATGGTTTGGATTGAGATACACCTAATTATTAAGGAAACAGAAAAGTATTGTCTGTGCAGATAGTCACCTCCTCCATAATGGGCATTCTTACATGGATAGCTTGGCTGATACCTAATCTTACTTTGCAAGTGTACAGGTTGGTCAAGTCTTGTCTATGCTTAAATTATATCTGAACCACTTGAAATATCAGATACCACTTAATATAAAAAGCAGACAAGAATATAGATATGGTAGCTGATTACATTTTTATGTCTCACTTATGCCCTAAAGTTATTGTTCACCTGGGTCTTCTACTGAAAACAAGTTGGATATAAACCTAAAAGAAGATGCTTGTCTGAGTCATTCACTTTCTTCCCTTCTACTTGTGTGAATCTGACCTTAGTGGCTAGACATGGGTTTACTTAGCTTCACATTCAGAATCCACAATACCTTTTGGCCTTTCCCTTTAAGGTTCATCAGTATACCACTTTATGGTGAGATAGGATAAAGTATTCCTTAGGATGTCATCTAGTACACTCTTCCAACAGTTGAATAATAGAGTTGGTATTTTATTTAGAAAATTTTCCCTGTTAACAAGTCAATTCACTCTATGGAACAAATTAACACTCCCCTCTGATGCCAGTACATTTTATGTCAAAGTATATGATCTGTTGTGTTTAATAGTCAGTTTTTCCTTTCCTTACTGGAGAAATATGTTGTCTTCTCATTTGTTCCAAGCCTCTCTACCATTTTTTTTGTATTTGTAGAAGTACAAATCAATAGGATACTCAAATTCTACAACTTTGGCATTGATGTGGTATTCAAACAATTACATAGCTCTATCGTTTCCTTCCACCTGCCCTCCCTTCATCTGAATGTCTGAAAAGAATAACATCAGTAGCTGACATATAAGTAGATAAAACTGTATTGCACAAGTAGATATTGTTTATAAATGAGTAATATTACAAGATGCTGTAAAAAGAAAAGTGGAGATTATGGAGTTTGTTACTTCTGAGAATACTGGATTGTTTGGTAATTTTAGTTTTTTTATTCACTTTAATATTGCTACATCACCATAAAGTTAGTAATGAGATCTCTGAGATGATTTATTGATAACTTGTATTAACCGAGAAAAATCTCTAAATGCATTTCCATTATTTAGAGGCTCAAAAGTATATTGCTGAAAATGATGCCCTGAAGGAAGAAATAAGAAAGCTTCAAACAAGGTTAGAGGAAAAGGAAAATCATCAAAATAATGACAGTTTTCAAATTTTAGACACATTTTCTCCAACTAGGAACAACTTTGAGGAGAGTGAAACTTCAGATGATCTTTATTCTGATTATTCAGATACCTTCAATAGTGAGTTTTCTCTGAGATCTTTTTCTCCCCTGGAATCCTCTTTGTCTCCACCTGAATCCCCAAGAATTTTTAGGAGTGAGATATCTTATTACCAGAATTCAGGTTCACAGATCCACAGAGTATCAGAAACTCCACATTTAGGTGGCCCAGAAACTCATCACTCTGAGAATCTTAGCATCAGACCCTCCAGAACTAACAACTCACAAGAAGATCTTGATAGACAGGATGCAGAAACTACTGAACAGTCGATTAACATCTCAGATAATTTCGCTTCTCAGACTTCCAGTATCGTAGATGTATTTTCTTCTGCCACGGAAGATGCGGGTGATAATCAGAATTCTTCGTATCCTAGAAGCAGATTTAGAAGACTGGTTGTTTCAACTTCCTTTTTCCCCTGTGATTCAGATACTGATAATGATCCAGAAACTTCAACAAGAATCACAGGTGACCAACATTCTGAAGATCAAAATGACAGTCCGGTTAGGTTTAGGAGACGAGTTTTGAAACGTAAAACTCCCATTAGGTCTCTCTCTGATAGTTCTGATGACAATCCAAATACTGATGAGAGAGCTACATGTAGCAGTAGTAATAGTAATGAAATGAATTTTACTAAAAGTGTGAGCACTAATAAAGAAAAAACAAGAGATTCTGGTTATGGTTATAGTAGATGCACAAATGGATTACAAAAGAAAAGCTGTAAAGTCAGTTTTACATCTGGATGCTCTGGAGAAACAGCTGTTACTCAAGATATGATGTCTCAAGATGGAAGAACTTCCTTTGAACAGGAAGTCTTTAATTTCACTGAACTGGACACAACAACAAGAAGAAATGAAGCAAATGTAACCCAAGTAAATTATATGCAGTCTGAACCACAGCAAGGTAATTCACTGAATAACTGGTCTGGAGAGAATACAAAAAGAATTAGAAAAGTGAGACAAGATGCTGTAACATATAGAAACAGTGGAGATACATATAAAACTAGTAGTAAGGGAGAAGTATGTTGTGGAGAAGCTACTTCATGTGAAGTTGAGCTTCTGGGAACTGCTGCTATGTTGGAAGCATACAGTGTGGAAGATGATCCAGAATGGGTTCCTCCTTTGGAGACTGAAGAACTTAGTGATGACATCACAGATGATGAATGGGACACAGAATCAGAATATGAGGTGGAAGTGCCTGAAAGAACATGGGATCTGATAATGAGGTATAAATGTACACTTATTTTTCCTAGAGATGTGGTTAAGTGTTTAGCAATTAACTGGCTGAGTTAGCTGAAGTAAGTTGTGTTGTGCATTGTTTGTTGATTCCCTAATTGAGACTGTTTTGAAATTGGAACAGGTTTTTGAATTTCACTCATTATCAGAGTTTATTCATATTACTTGTAATGCTCAGATATACAAAGATTCTTGAAAATTTTGGGAATATCTAAGCTGATTAGTAGATCTATTTTTGTGTGTGTCCTTATTAATTTCCCTTTTTTTTTGTTGTTGTTGTTGAAATATTTTCATCACTTGATGAGAGTTGTTTCTCAAAGTAAATATAGAATTGGTACAGGATAATAAACTAGATGATGTCATGATGAGTTTATTGGGCTTAAAAGAGATTTGATGAATTTATGAACAAAAAATGTATAATGTGAAGGTGTGATACCAACTACTAACCAGAAGTTGTAGCTCTTTGATGCTAATCTTTTGGGTTTATCTAATGGTATCTCTGTGTTTATTTAGTGTCCATTTTGTCTTACTAAAGTGTTATTATTGTATATTTTTTTACATAATTTCCAGGTATGTCAATACTCCAAGTGATGATGATGAGGAATGGCAGCCAAGGAGATTACACATTCATTCTGAAAATTGATTATCATTATATATTTATCGGGTTCTAATACTTCATTTAGTTCTTATCTTGAATTGTTACAGTTATATAATTTTTAAGTTAATTTGAAAGGCTGAATTGCAATTTAAAATTTGTTAATAAACTTTAAGGAAGTATATGTTTATGTTGTATTTTTAGTGATGTACACAAAGATAAAAGTGTATTAAATACATTCAGAAATAAATCTCGAGGATCATTATTTCATTCAATGCAGAACAGTTACAAGTAACTTTACATTTTACATAACTCAAACAAAAGAGAAAAGATGGTATAATAATAGGTTAAAATAATTTTAATCCATTGATTAATTTGCCGTATATTTGCTGTTATTTTGCCGTATAGGGTACAGTCTGCCTCTGGCAGTTGAATGCGAGTGCGCTGCATACAGTCTATGGCTCATAAAAATTCCATACACATTTTTAGCAGCTACAGTCAAATGGTTAAAATAAAGGAGAAACTGGTGGTTTGTTTGATTGAATACTGGTAACACTTGGTTTCATTCCTTCCTAATTTTACACATTTTTGTGCTGTTTAGAAATAATGTGTTTTGCATTTAATCTAGATGTATGTCTGTGTTGATAGTGTTATATATATTAGTGTGTGGAATGTTGAAAAGTACTTTCTTTTTGTACTATATTTTTATTTGTGTTTTAGTCTAGGTGTGTGTACTTTTTTTATGCTGAAATGTTGTATATGCTGGCATTGATTTTTATCTTACTTATATACTAATAGTATTGTATATCTTCTTTTTGCTATGCTAAACTACTGCCTGTCTATAGGTTTGTCTCAATACTGAATATACACTTTCTCCAAACTAGGATCTTCAGGTGGTCTTTATTCAGATACCTTTAATAGTGAGTTTTCTCTTATGGAATCCTCTGTCTCAACCCGAATCCCCAAGAATTTTTAGAAGTGAGATATCTTATTACCAGAATTCAGGCTCACAGATCCACAAAATATCAGAAACTCCATATATAGGTGGCCCAGAAATTCATCTCTCTGAGAATCTTCATATCAGACAGCTCTTTGTGTGCATATTATGTTTATTTTTTCAATACTAGTCATGCACGTGGATCTGAATTTTGGTGTAGCTCCATGTGACATATTAATTTGTATGTGGTGTTTCATGTCTTGACAGTGCTGTTTATCTTTTGTTTGTTATGTTACAGATTTAGTATTATGTTGCATGTCGCGATGCAGCTGTTTTTATTTTATGTACTGGTATCCTGTACGTCTCTAGATGAATGCTTGCTGACTTTGCTTGACAAATCCAACTGCACATTATACTTCTGTAGAAAAATATTCTCTCTCTTTTAAATAATCATTAGTTTAAATGTGTCTTGTTTGTTGTGTTGCATAAGTGTGTATACTGTGGATTATGTATTTTTTGCACCACATAATGTGTTATTTGTTTCTTGGTATTTTACTAAATCATTGTATGTTTTCTTGACCATAATTTCACTTTCCTTGTAATTACAAATATTGTGTTATAGGTATTTCTTACTGTGGAGTAGAAAAGTTGTATTTCTGTATTAAGGAAATGTGTGTGTGTAAGCCTATTTTATTCTATTAACATGTATTAACCCTATGTACGCAGATGGGGTCTAAGTGCACATTCCATGACTTTTACAGGGTACCATTCAACATGATACTATACATTTGATGTCAGAGTGATCAGTTCTTCATTCTGATTTAATGACAATTCATGGTAGAAGATAGTATATACCAGGTATAATACACAGGAATACTTTAAAAAAACTGTAGATGTGCATTTCAGATGTTCTACAGGTAATTCCGTTGCAATGTGCTAACTGTTTGATGGGCAAAAGGTGTTTTTATTCTTCACATGAACACTATCTTGCATTCTGATTTTTCAGACTGATGTCATCAATTCACAGATATATCTTGAATTCAAATACTTTTTTAACACATCTGATTTTTTGTGTACATTAGAATTGTACTTTTTATTAAAAGCTTGCCACGTTTTATGAAGATACGCTTAGTAATTTCGGAATTATAGTCAACGTTATTTCTCCAATACGGGCTTGGATATTGGGTTAATTCAAGTCCTACTATTGTTTTTCTGGGAAGAAGTTTAAATATTTTCTTTTTTTGTCTGTGTGCAGCATTATGATAAAATTACATTGGCTTTGGACTATAAGTTATTGTCAAAATCAAATTTGTTGTACTTGATGATTATTAGTGATTTTAACAGGATAGGGTAAATGTGCTACTGTAAATGTTACTCAGACAAAACTTAGAAATTTTAAAGGAGTGATGGTACAGTGTGTTTGAATATATGTGATAAGAGTAAAAACTTGCAACATTAAATTAGTATATGTTCTCAGTTCAGTTTATTCATAGATGCATACACATATAATCAATCATAACTGATGATTAACAACAAAACCAGAGAAATTATGAATAACAACATATTTATTGGACGTTTCAAGATATACACATTTCCATCTAGAGCAAATTACAATAAACACAACAACTTAATTACTATTAATCACTCAAATTTCAAACTAAAGCTTATGTATTACAATTAACAGTTATAACTAGAGGGCGAGTATAAAAGCAAGAGAGTAAAACTTTAAAATAATATAGACTAGTAGTAAATGACTTTGTAAAAGGATGTATATAGTTAGTGAGAAATAATTAATTGGAAAAGGCTTAACAGAAGTTGGGTTATTATTCGAGCAGCAGAAATTTTGTTTCGAAAGTAAACTTTTTTTAATAAGCAGATGAGGGCAAACAGAAAGAAAAGTTAATGGTAACAAAGCAGCTGCTAAAGGTATAAATTTTTAAAAGTCAAAATGGCACCCTAAAGAATTTCTTAACTTTCTAATTGATATCAAGGGATTACTTCTATAACCAGCTGTGGATAATAATCACCTAGGTCTTACCCCTTTTTATTGTTGTTCTTCAATTGTTTGTGATTTGAGAATTAAATAAAAAAGAAAATGCCTTTTTTGGTGAGTACTATTTTCTTTATCACTTTGTCTGTAACTGAAATTTATTTTCTTACCTTGTGCAAATATAATACATTTATAGTTCGTTATATTAGATCATTTTCATAACTGGTTTGTGGTGCTGATACTTCATGAATTTGCTGGTGTGTATAGTTTAGAAATTTAACATGCTTCAGAAAAACGTAAGAATTTTAAACTTCATTTCTAAATTTAATCAGCAGATGGCGCTTGAGTTATATTTGACATATTAGTTACTCCAGAGCAGTACAGTGATTCTTTTCGATTTTAATATGTTTGCAGTTTCAGATCAATGTACGCGTATCTATCACACAAACATAGCAAGAGTTAATGAGTTTTAGGGTTGCGAATTAAATTTTATCTACACAAAAGTATTTAAGGACACAGTAAATAACTTTTGAACCACCGTATTTAAGAACTTTTTCTACAATACTTACTGTTAGAATAGATATTTGTTTACACCTTATTACTTACGCCTGTGATTATTCTTAATGGTAAATGTAATACATTTGGAAGGTCAGAGTTTACAGACAACGTTAGGAAAGCATGAAATAATAGGGAAAATTTATACAGTCGATAAGTTACTTATATACTGAGTTTTAACATGGTATGTGGATTTTGTCTTTACTATTCATTATTCAAAACTATTCTAGACACTTTGGTGATCTTTCGAAAAGTCAACGGATTTACAATGCTTAAATCAGGGGTTCAATTCCCGTCGTTGGACACAGCATATAGCCCGATGTGGCTTTGCTATAAACCCACATTTTCGAAAAGGATAATGTGATTTAAATTATTAGTTTTATTGTGTTTTAACATCTCACGTATGTTATTCGAAATCTCATGCCCCACAAGCCAAGACATTTTAAACCAGTGGAATAACATGGGTTTTGGGGGGAAAGTTTGTATAGCTGGAGCATGAGGGTTACTATCTAATCTACTATTGTTGTCCATATATATATATTGTTTTATGAATATAATATATGTGTGTAAGTCTTCTAAAAAACTGTATGTATTATATAATTAATTATTCTTAAAATTCCAAAATTAGGTAATCTCTTTCCAGCGTCTTTCTCTTAAAATGTGCTTTTTATTTAAAGAAAAAACAATATTGAGAACACAAAATAATTATCTACGACAGTAAGAGATAATCTGAGATCGGCCACCTAGAAAGAAAGATCCTTAAAAACAGAACATCTTTCTTCGTATTGCTTATAAATGACTACTGAAATAATCTAAATTAGAATATTTTATTACAGATCTTGTACTCTGTGACCTTGGATCTGGATCTGGATTTAAGTCGCAGTTTTACGACCTGGGTGGCTCAGGTTCAATCTAGACCTCTAAGGATCATCCTTGGCTATTGTTATTTCAAATGCTACACGAGAATTAGCGCCCCCAAAATTATATTATTTGTATCACTATTTCTAGTACCCTCTTCAGGGTCATGTCCATGAATTTCAAACTTATCCTGTGACCCTGCGTGTGGTGAACCTTTGGGTTTAAACTGAAAAATACACAAACATG